TGAAAATTATAGGAGAGTCCACATAACTCAACGTTGTCAGGGCTAAAACATAAATCATGAATGGCATTCACCATTTTCTTAAGAGCACAATTGCAAAAAGTGACATTAGCAACCATTCTGGAAGACGGAAGCGCACATCCCCTTCACTAATAAACGTAGATTCCTCTTCCTTTTAAAGAGCATCCAAGTGCATTATGTTCATTTTTACAGTAATGAAGGAGAGTGTCATTCCGTCGGTTTCCTGTAATTTTCAGGACCTGATCGAAATGCCTACATTTTCTCCCTTTCAGGGTCAGGTACAAAAGCCGAAGCCCTCGTGGCCCCTCTGCCTAGAAGCCAAGCACCTGGGACCTGCAATGGGAGCTGGAGGTTCCCCTGTCCTTAGTAGCAGCAGGCGCCTGGGGCAGTCGCCGCGTCCGCAGGGCCCTGGCCTGGCCCGTGCCGGACCCGTGTCCAGAGGGTTCCCCACGTGAGACTCCACGTGCTGCCCTCACGCCCTGATACCAACAGTCGCTCTAGACCTGCGAGTTCCGCGTCCGCCGACACTTGGGGCACTTGTGAAGGCCGGATTTCCTCGTCAAAGGCCCCAACCCCGCTGCACCGCGAACATGGGCAGCTGCCTGAGCAGACACCTGGGCAGATACCTGGGCAGAGCCAAGGCCACGCTGCCACGCCCCGCTTGGAGGCGCCGGTCCCTGCGGCCCAGGCCGGCCCACCGCCCCCTGGGCCGGGTTCAGAGCCAAATCATTTCCATGCACCGGGAGCGCTGGATCGGGAGCCGGCCCCGCCCCACCCTGCCGCCCCACCTGGACCACCCCAGAGTCCAGAGGGTGATAGTCCCCAAGGCCTGGAGGCGCTTTCACAGCAAGTCACCCCTCCACACCTTCCTGGGGTTGGATTTCTCTAGCAACCGCGAGAGTTTCATGAAGCAGTGGCTTTGGAAAGCCCAGAACCTAAACATCTGGAACATGGTGACCATCAAAATCACTCCTCCTGAGCGCAGTGGGAGCTTCAGCAGGGGTCCACCCATCCCGGAGCAGCCGGACTGCTGTGCCAAGGAGACCCGGCGGAGGGCTCGGAGCCCATGCAAGAAAAGAAAGAGGATCCACAGACCTCTCCAGTTTGAAGCCACCCCCACCAAGAGAAGGAGGCTGAGCCCAGGGGCCAGGCCATCTGCCTTCAAGCCTGTGTGGAAAGATGGAGTGGTCCCTTCCTTTGTGCCCAGGCTGGGGCCTCTGAGAAGGGGCCTCTGCTCCTGGCATCCTGGTGATGGAGCAGACGCCCACCCTGGGGCCTGACCTGCTGCCAGACCACCGCAGAGTCCCAGGCCTCGACTGAAGAGCTGATGATCAGCACTCCCCAGGGCCTGGGCCCTCCTGCAGCCTGGGGTCCCCCTTGAATCCTCAGCCAGAGCCCTACCCCCACCACTTCCTGAGACTCAAAGCCACAGTTCTTTTACCCTGCTGACCCCTGCTTGACCCCTGCATGAGTGACTGACCCCACCAGTCAGCCCTCACCACCCCAGCATGCAGCCCCTCCAAGCACCCAGACCCACCTCCCCTCACCCTGCAGAGTCCACACTGAAGAAACACCGTTGCTTTCAAAACCTCTGCCTTCCTCCTGCCCACCCACTCCTCCTGCCTTTTCCCTGGAAACACTCTTAGCAGGAAGGCATGCTTCTCCCCTATATTCCCAGTTTCTAGAGTGAAAGCTGGTGTTCTTATTTTTAAAATAATAATAAACAACCTCATTATCATACAGAGTGTTTCTGTCTTTCTTGCAAAGGTACATATATTAGGATTTCGTCTACACCATGAATTCTCTACCCTGGCATGGTAAACATGTGGGGACCAGATAATTCTTTTGTTGTTCGTTGGGTGCTGTCCTCTGCATTGTAGGGTTTTAGCAGAATCCCTGGCCTCTATCCTCTAGGGGCCAGCAGCATACCCATATTGTGAAAATACAAAAAAATATTTCCAAACATTGCCATATATTCCAGAGGGAGGTGGAGGGGGTGGGGGGCGCCGGAAGCACTCCCCAGAAAAACAAAACAAAGCACCACATTGGTGGAAAACCACTGAGGGACAGTGACCTCTACTGGCAGAAACAGTCAAGCTTGGTTTTTAAGATTTTAAAACACAGCAAAGATACAGAGATGAATAAACCGAAGTGGTACATGTTTGGCAAAAACATTTCCCCCAGGATTGGAGAATGCTGTGGAGTGTGAATGATTCAAATAGTTTGGCAATATTAATCATCAGAAAATGTAAATTTTTAAAAAAATAAGCTACTCTTTTAAGCTTCTCAGGTTGCCAAATGAAAATGCTAAATACTATGAAATGCTGGTAAAGATGCTGAGGATTGGAACCCCAGGCAGTGCTGTGGGTGTGAATCTGCAGCAGGACTTGGAAGTTTTCCTAGAGCAGAGTGTGACTATGAGAAACTCTCCTCCACGTGTGTGTACACACACGCACACACACACACACCGCATACACCACACACCATATACACCCCCCACACACCCCCCGCACACACACCACACACACACACACCAAACACACACCATACATACCCAACACACACCACAAACACCACACACCACACACACACCACATACACCCCCCACACACCTACCATACACACACACACCACACACACACCATACATACCCAACACACACCACAAACACCACACACCACACACACACCCCCCAAACCACACGACACACACACACACCACACACACACACACACCGCATACACACAGATGCACACACACAGTGGTGAGGATGTTCTTCCCAGCACTCTGTCAGAGCAGAGAACTGGAACAACCTAAATGCCCACCCACAGGGGGATGGATAAAGCAAACACGCTATGTGCTATCAGGGCAATACTGTTCCACAAACTGAAGGAAAGAAGGAGCCCAAGGATTCTCCACTCGTGGGCTACTGAGCCACATAATTCTGTGCACTGCAGGATGTTGAGTGGCACACCGGGCCTCTATCGCCCGCATATCAATAGGAACAGCTCCAGTTGTGACAGTCAAACGCATCTCCAGACATTGCCAAATATCTCCAGAGGGACAAACATCACCCCCAGTTGGAAATCACTGAACTCCATATTTTTAACGACAGGTTACATCTCAAAATACACTGCTGAGTGGAAAAGATAGAGAGTGGTATATTATGTGTAGCACACGCCATTTATAGAATTGAAACAAATGCAAAGTAATATTGCTGGAATAATGGGGAAGCCAGGAACCGGGTAAGAGGTCATCTGGACGCTTTGCCTGCACTGTTCTTTCCATCTAAAGCCTCTTTAAATCCTGTTCAAACATGAATTTCACGGCATCCCCCTTTAGAGAGTCAGAGAATAAACAAAGTCTCTTCTCCCATGAAGCTTGCTTTCTAAGGGGGTGCAGAGAGAAGATAAATAAATGGACACACTAGCAGGTGTGGAGAAGTGCTATAAGGAAAAATAAAGAAGGAGGAAGGACACATTTAAAAGTCCACCAACACAACCATGACCCCATATACTTTCCTGTGCCCCCATCACTGTGGAACTACACCATCCTTTACTACAAATTCAAGTTCTTTACTCGGGGTTTCCATTGGTGGCAACTCATGCTTTCATGTAGCACCTCGGCAAAGAGATTGGAAATATTTTACCTACCTAGATATAAAGGTTTCTGGAAGATTCAAATTGTTGCTGAAAATATTAAACTCAACATTTTCGGTGTTGACAGTTACTGTTAGATACAAAATGTCCTGGACTGAACCTCTAGAAATCAAGTTTGTGTTTTGAAGTTCACTACCTGCCATTTGCTAGACTTGAGACAAGGCCTTTCACTCTACAGGAGTTGCTAGAAAGGGCTTGAGATCTAGTGTGTCCACGAGGGTGCTGGTGGTATTTTGAGTAGGAGATTCCTTATTACATGGGACTGTCCTGAGCTTAGCACCATGTTGATTATCTCTCAGCCCTGCCGTCTAAATGCCACAACACTGTCCAGGCATAGATGTAGTCCAAAACACACCACATTTCCATATGCTACCTGGATGGGGTCAGAACCGTACACACATAAGAAACACTTAAAACCTCCTCCAAAGTGTCAAGGTCCTGAAAACCAAGGCAGACCAAGTGCATGAAAACCAAAGGAAGATGGAGAAACTGTCTCCATCACTGGAATGATCACCGAGGAGGTACAGATTCTGGAACAGAAGAAGGACATTAGTGAAAAGGGGAAGTAGATCTGAAAAATTCCATTAGTTTAATAATATTGAAATAATGATAGTTCCTTAATTTTGATATATCTATCATGGTTATTTAAAATAATAGCATTAGGGAAATGAGTGAAGAGTCTAGAGCAGTTTCTCAAACTCAGCACTATTAACATTTTAGACTGGATGAGTCTTGCTTGTGGGAGGCTGTCTGTTCTTTTGTAGGATGTGTACCACATCCCCAGCCTCTACACGCTCGAGGCCAGTAGCACGTCCAACTGTAATGCCAGAGTACCTCCAGACAGTTCGAAATAGCCTCAGGAGCAGTGGAGGGAAGAAATCCCTCAAGGTTGAGGACCATTGATACACAGGA